TATCTATCTATCTATCTATCTATCTATCTATCTATCTATCTATCTATACATACAGTATGTATGTGTATGTAAACTCTTTCATTGGTTGGGTGTAATATGTCTGAGAATGAATAGTTCTTCATTGCCAAAAACATCCTAAATTGATCCCATATATAATTTAAGAGATAGCTACAAATAGACTTACTCTGTTTTAGCAGTTGTGCTTAATACTCTGGAGTTTTAAGATGATTTATACATCCCAAAAGAGGCAATTTGTGGTTAAAGGGTTTGATTAAACGAATACTAAAAAAAAAACTTTCACAAACTCTCTCTCTTTCCCCTTCTCCCTCTCGCACACAAACAACCTAAACAATGTAAAACATTTTAATAACAAGAAAAGACACACAATGGGCTTCAACGGTGGCCGCTCTGCAGTTGGTAAACAATATCCAACTCTTCAAGGCTTAGCTATATTAAAACTGTAAAACAAATAGCAGTATCTATTCAGCTGTTGTTAGGTGAATTGGCAAACTATTCATGTCCCAGCTAATTCATAAATGTAGCTTCTGGGATTATAAAAAAGTTATCTGGCTAATGATATCATATCTGTTGTTTATTTAAAACGTTGGATACACATATTTCTGACATATCACCCATACAAGAGACATAAGTAAAACCCTCAATTTATATATGCTTCCATGGTAGTGGAGCTCTTGGCGAAGATGGCAGCTTGAACAGTTGCTCCGCGACCCCAAGCCAAATATATTGAAAAGGATACTTTATTCTGCCCATTATCGTTGAAAGAACTGTATTTTTGTGAGACTAACCCTTACGAAGTCGAACTGCATTGGAAATACCAATCCCTGGACACGGTACTGTCCTCATATCTAGCTTCTTTCAGTTACAAAGGTCGACGGGACAAGGTTGCCCGCTGAGCCCCGGCTTAATTGTAATTGCAATTGAACCTCTGGCTCAAAAAACGTGCTGCCATACCATACCATCCATGGTATTAATGTGGGCAGCATTCATCACAAGGTTCTTTTGTACGCAGATGATATGTTGGTCCTTCTAACTAAACCTGAAGAATCTGTTCCGATTTAATGGATTGTATTGAAGATTTTACATTATTGTCTGGGTACAAAGTAAATTGGGATAAGTCTGAAGCTAATCCCATGTCTGGACACTGCCCCTCCTCTCTATACAAAAATTTGAGATTCTGTTGGTCTCCCAAAAGTATTAAATATTTGGGTATACAGATCACTTCTGATTATAATAATATGGTTAAAATGAATACTGGTCCCTTGATTGAAAATATAAGAAGTGACTTTGGTAGATGGTCTAAAATTCACTTGTCCCTGTGGGGGAAAATTAACTCTATTAAGATGATGACAGCGCCAGTTGTTTCTCTCCTCTGTAATATCCATCCATCCATTATCAATACCGCTTAATCCCTCATGGGGTCACGGGGGGAACTGGAGCCTATCCCAGGGGTCAACGGGCAAGAGGCAGGGTACACCCTGGACAGTCCGCCAGTCCATCGCAGGGCCACACACAGGACATACAAGGACAAACAACCACTCACACTCACATTCACTCCTAAGGGCAATTTCCCTTATTCTCCAATCAGCCTAACATGCAGGTTTTTGGACTGTGGGAGGAAGCCGGAGAACCCGGAGAGAATCCACGCAGACACAGGGAGAACATGCAAACTCCACCCAGAAAGGTCCTGGTTCCCCCGGGATTCGAACCCAGAACCCTCTTGCTGGGAGGCGACAGTGCTAACCACCACACCACCGTGCCGCCCCCTCTGTAATATTCCTTTGCATATTCAAGACTCTTTTTTTAAATATTTCATTTTTATGGGGCAAATCCCATCACCGTCTAAGTCTTAAAAAGTTACAAGCGAGTGTTGACAGAGATGGTTTTTCCTTCCCTAATTTTAAATGGTATTTTTGGGCTTTATGTGCAAAACAACTTAGAGTTTGGTTGCCCACTTTCAATTCGTCTGATAAACCTTCCTGGTCTCTGCTGGAGTCTGATGCCACAGTGGCAAAGGGTGGGCTCTCCTGTATATTCCATTTGTTTGATGCCAAAACCAAAAACTATCTGACCTATGATGAGGTTGTTGAATTTGCCTTGCAGTCAATTGCAATCAATATGTCCAACTACATAGTTCATTGTCTAAATGACATTTTCGGGCGGCCCTGTAGAAATCTTGCTTTGCAAGCTGGCCAATGGCAAAGGTATTACCTTTAACATATACAAAATGTTACTTATTCAATTGGGCGACCCATTATCAAAGGTTAAAAAACACTGGCCTTGGACATCTCTGAGGGTGATTGGCACTCATGTTTACAAAATGTAAACACAATGTATAAAGAAATGAAAAACAAGTAAGTTCAATTAAAAATCATTCACAGATGGCACAGAACCCCTCAACAACTTCAGAAATGGACTTTGATTCCTAAAGACACTTGCTGGAGATGCAATGAGGAGGGAACATATATGCAACATATTCTCTGGACCTGCCCTGCTCTTCAAGATTGGTGGAAGAACATTAGGGAAGTCATTTTTGAAACACTGGAAAGAAGGTTTAATATCGCTGCCAAGCTGGCAGTTTTATGCTCCACAGCAGAACTCCCAGACTCATACTTCCCACCTTTTGAAAAGAGATGGCTTGTTCTGGCTCTGACTACATCAAACAACAAATTCTATACCACACAACTTTGTGATTTCTTGGTAGCTTTTCTTAAACAAGGCAAGGTTTAGAAATACATTTAAAATATGGTTTAAAATTCATCATGATTAGAGTGAAAAAATAGCATTCTTTTCACAGTACAACAGTTAGCCACATTAATACTGACACAGGTAAGTATTAATGTGTCTCATGTAGCCACTTCTAGTCACAAGAGGTTGCTTATTCTATGGCTATGGTTGGTTTACTTTTGTTTCCGCAAGTCTGTAAATACACTGGGAAGTCATATTTTTGGGAGGACAGCCTCACTAAATCAACACATTTTGAACTAAAATATGTAGTCACATGAATAAATTCATGAATATGTGATTTAAAATGTTGCTGAGCAGTTCCAAGGGAAACAATGTCATACATCTACTCTATGTACTAATGTGACAGTTTTCTAGAAACTCTTGTCTCTATAAATTCTGGGTATCTCATGTGAAGACTTTGATTAAAAGTACATCAAAATATAAATTATGCAGAGGAGCAGCCGTAATTAATCAAATCTCAGAGGGCATCGGGGATATGCTATGGTAAAAAGGAAGTTTATGTGACTTTCTGAACACAAGCCATCTGTGCATTGCATCACCTGTTTGTGCATACTCTGCCAATTTGGATAACCACTTTGTGAGTAGGACAGCATAGGCGCTCAGCATACATATCTTTTCCATTCTGACATCTGATTGTCTGTAAATACGCATTGCTTCCTTGCTTTTTGAAGTTGAATAACATCCGTGTGTCTGTGTAATTTTCCTCCTTGGCCTGATTATCTCTCCCCACTCTCAGCTCATCAGTTGCCGGCTGTCAGAGGAGTCATTGTTATTCTCACTGTACAGGGAGAGGATGCTTGATTAACAAAAACAGAGTTACTCTGAAGTCGGTCTGATTTATTTGTCAACCTGCACTTTAAAATAAATCATACACATATTGGCTGAAGTTCAAAGCACAACTCAATTACTTAAAGCACTGAACTAAAGTACTTCAAGTACAGTTTTGGTATGTAACAGGGTGCAATGTGTGTACAAATCTTTTTACGTAATTCATTATCAGCCTCATAACTTCCCCACATACCCACAAACATAAATGGAAAATTGTGAAACACAAAAAAAACGGGAAAAAAACGTTCAATTCTAGCTGAGTCAGACTATTAGTCTTTGTATTATTCTCAGACAGTTCACAGTTTTCTTTGTAAAAAACGTTGTAATGATACAACCCAGAGAAAGAAATATGATGATGACAGACAAAGCTTGAATGAAATGAAAACAAGTGGGGTTAGTTAGCAGGAAGGTATTAGTCTTTATTCATTGTTTAAACCAATCGTGTGAATTAAACTGCTGGATACTTATAACTAACCTACTGTATCTGGTTGTTTTAAACATCCAAGTACAGATGATCACTTTCAGGGTGCTGCCATGAGGTCTATTAAAAAACGAGGGACTCTAATCTAAAATATTACATACCTGATGTTTTTTTTTTCTTTTTTTATTGGTTCACGGCACCTTTCTAAGATATCAAAATACTCGATTAACAAGGGAGTCACAAATATAGGAGGTAAGCAATATGAGAAAACTGCTGACCACTGGCATTGCTTTGTGTAAAAAAAAATCCCATCACCTCTGCATACAGAGGTGTTTGGGGTAAGAAAAGGTGTGTTGATGAAGAAAGACGGCAGCTCGCAGCTGCTGCTGCGGCTTTAAATATTTGATTTAAAGAGCTCTGTCTGAAAAATGAAACCCCACCGTCTACAACTAAGATGAATGCAGATGCAGGATAAACACTAAAGGGCTATGTCACCCTGTTGGCGCTTTCCCGCGTGTTGACATTTGAATACTTGTTGACGGAGAGAGGCATATCTGAAGGAAATACGCTGATTTATGTCCCGAACACAATGACTGAGCGAGTGTGCCCTCCTCCCTCTGCCTCCCTGCATCTGACAGCGTCCCTCCCTCTTTCTCTCTCTTCCTCCTCCCTCCCTCTCTCCCTCATTAGGCGTTCCACTGGCAAAAAAAAAGAAAAACACTGACACACTCCTTCCCCCTAAAACGGGGGAATAAACACGGAGCGACTGTGCCGGCCGGATCGACCTCCTACGGTGCGCAACATCGTTCATGGTCCACCCTTGGGTGTCTGTCTGACAGGAGGGTAAGTTGACATATTAATGTTTCTCTAGGTTAAAACAACAACAAAATACATCGTTTTGCCTTTAGTAATTCTCGGGCTCCTAATGTTTATTTTCATTGCGTCGGGCGTAGTTCGCTTTGTGACAGCGCGCGGCTTACTTGCCGCTGACTCAATCGTTTTTGCGTGCGCGCGTGGACTTCGCTCGTGTGGCTGCCGCGCTGGGGGAGGTCTAAAATTGTGGGAACGGACAGGAGCGAGTTGTTGCGTCGTTCTGCACCCACCGGCCGGGTCGGTGCGGCGACGGCAGCAGACATGGTACTAGCAGCTGTTTCCACGTTCCAGCTCCTCGTTGTCCAGCTTATGTGTCCTGTGGAAGCCGCAGCAGTAAACGCTTCCGAGATAAGCTGCTCTGCGTTTGTTAGGGCAAACTGGATTAGCTATTTACTTAGTCGGAGTATTCTTTAACACACCTTTTACTAATAATGCAGTAGCAACACTGTGAACACCTGCACACACAAGCTGGGGGCTTGGACAGTGCTACCCATTTCACACCCTTCCATCAACACTTTAACAAGGCGGTTCTGTTGCCTCTGAAGCAAAGTGAATAGCTTTAGAGTCGGTGGATTGTGTGCCGTTTTACCTCAAAGTGACACCATCTGTCAGCAGTGAATGGTGAGAATGGCTGACTTGCATAGACTGCAAATCCAGGTATGCAAAGCATCTTACCTTTGGTTTTCTGTAGGTCCGGCCAACATCCAGGTAGCTGCCTTCAGGGCAGTCTACTATGGTTCTTACTGGAATCCTGAACCGAAGGTCTGTTTATGATTACTCTTTAGCCGTTTTGTATTAGTTATGGTCAAGATGAGGAGGAAATAGGAGCAATAATCAACCAAAGTGTAGCAGCACGGTGGTGTGGTGGTTAGCACCATCTCCCCACAGCAAGAGTCCCTGGGGAAACCAGAACCTTTCTGTTTGGAGTTGCATGTTCTCCCTGTGTCTTCATGGGTTCTCTCTGGGTTCTCCGGCTTCCTCCCACTGTCCAAAAACATGCATGTTAGGTTGATTGGACATTCAAAATTCCCCTTAGGAGTGAGTGTGAGTTTGTGTGCTTGTTCGTTCTTGTGTGTCTCTTTGTGGCCCTGCGATGGACTGGCAGACCGTCCGGGGTCTACCCCGCTTCTCGCCAATTGACTACTGGGTTAGGCTCTAGTTCCTCCTTGACCCCATTCGAGAATAACGGGCTACGAAAATGAATGGATAGATGGATGGATGAAGTTGAGTGCTTTAGCATTTTAGTGTTTGGCATGAGTGCCTTCATTCTTCAACACCTGAACCCTGTTAGATAAGCTTCATGTAAGGTTTTTAAGGATTCTTCAGGAATAGTTTTCCAGGGTTCTAGAGGGACATTCCAAAGCTCTTTTCTGGATGTCGGCTGCTTTTTGCTCCGTTCTCTGTCACGAACACCATATGTAAACAAAAGATTTGCACATTGGCATTTCAACTGCTTTGATAATGTTGAGGGAAGATTCATCCCTCAGACCTTGTGCCACTGGTGTTCATTTGATATTTCTTGTCATTTGGCACAACTTAGCCTTTTCTCCCTGTTTCCCTTCCTTAAGAATGGCTCCTTGGAAGCCAGCCTCCCATGGAGAGCGTTCCTGATAAAGCTTGCGCCAACAGTCGATGAAGAATATCTCAGGTCTTTGCTGGGTTTTCCCCTGTTTTTAAGGATTTTCTGATTTTTTTTGTCCTTCATTTTTCTGCTTTCATTCCATTTTGATGAAGAAATCATACCGATAAATGCCTAGTTTTCATCCAATAGGTCTTTGACCTTGATGCAAACATGCTATTTTCGGTTGGTCGAACAACAGTTGACAGTTATATGCTGACAGAACACTGGTTCGTCACTTCAATTTGGTTACTTGTTCATGCTTGAATGATTCAGTGGTTTAATTGAAAGTGTAGACCTCAATGACGGATTTGTTAAGAAGAGAAAAAGCAGCTATTCTTCCAAAAAAATACAAAATAAATAAAAACCTTTAAAAGTCACACAGGAAGCATGGAGAAATAATTCTCAAGACCACTGAAAATCTGTCTGCTTGGAAGCAAATTTATTTATTTTTTAAAATCATATACACAATGATTGGTATACTGTATAGATATCTTTAACTCTACACGTACTGTGTAGTACAAGTGTAGTACAAATGTAGTAGTTTTAACCCAAATGTTAGGGTTAAAACTACTATCTATACTTTCACTGCTCTGTTCAGACGTTTCACTTAATTTGAGGTACGACCAGTTGGCTGAGTCCGTTCTGTCTGCAGTTTTTGGACCTGCTCCTTGCTGCCACATATGTAGGCCTGTGCTTACTCACCTTGTTCTTCCAGGGCCCTGCCCACATCGGCCTCAGCTGGCGGGCCTGTTCCTCTGTACTCTGTACTGTGTATTCTGTCACATCGCTTTGAGAGCATGGGAAGTTCACATCCTTTGAAGTTTGTCGAGCTGGGAGTTTTTTTTTTCTTGACAAACAGCGTCCATGCATGCAGAGTCTTGTTGTTGGTGTCTGCATGCCAACATTTTGCATGTTGAGTTCAGATGCCACGGGATTCTGTTGGGATTTCTCGGCCCTGCATGCTGCTTAACGACATTTGCAAGTCAAATGAGCACGTATAAGGCATCTGAAGCAGCCCTCCTCGTTCTCTGTGTCTCTTTGGAGGTGATCATACCCCCAGTACGTGCAAGTTAACTGAACATTTGGCAAATCTCTGAAGGAAAAGGATCACTGTTTGTTACCTGTCGGATTGTAGGGATATTTTCACAGGACCTCCTTTCATCATCCTTAGCTGTTTTATAAATGCTGCAGCATATGGTGCCAGCATGCAGTGCCGCATACGTGTGTGGGGTCACCCTGATCTGACCTACAATGACAACAAGGGGTTTGACAGGCTGTGTGTGTGTGTGTGTGTCTTGCTCTTGGGTGTGACCAAACTTGGGCAATTGATTTGTTCCATCATCTTTTGGTTGCTTGGTGACCGTGGTCATGTCTCCTGTCCGCTGAACTCCAGTGACCAATCACATAAAATAAAAGCACACACGCACACAACGTTTGTATATTTGTGAGGGCTTTCTAAGTCCGGATTTTCCAGCCTGATTCCTGCTCATTGCCCAACTCTGTGCTCTGATTCTAACTACCAGTGCTGTAATATCCCGATGAATCACATGCTGCTTCTTTGCAAGAAGTCTCTGCCGGGTCATATTTTTTTCAGCACTCACCACGTCTGTCATATGATAGCCCTGAAGAATGTGCGAAAAATATAATTTTTTTGTCAGACAAGCAGCCTGAAATACCATTACGGTGCTTTAACTTCGGCAAGGTTGCAGCGATGAGTGAAGGTAAAGTAAAAAAAAATAAAAATAATAATAAACAGTTATAATAAACAATGGAGAAAGAAACTGCCGAGGAACCTCAAACACAGAGCAAATTCAGGAAAAATCCGAGGATATACACACAAACACACACACGCACTCACACACAAACACAACTAAGTGTAATAACACAACTGATTGCACTGAAAAAGATAATGAGGTGTGGATTTGGAAGGAGCTAGAGCCATAAGGTAGGAAGTTAAATAAACAACACCACATTAGGGAAAGTGACTTTTCACCATGCAGTTACCCATAGAATAACGGTACTGCTTTTTTGTATCTATACATAATTTGAATGCAAACAGTAAAATTGTTTATCATTAATAAAATGTTATTTGATTTTGTTTTTACAGATATTGACTTGACATGACTGGAAATCTGTGTGGTCTATGGCTTAAATTGACTAGAAATATAGTGTTTTTTAAACTATTTAGGTGGCTGAGTCTCTATGCATTGAATTTCTAAGTGGCACTACCACTACTTTGTCTCACAGCGACTTTACTTTATCACAAAACTTTCTCTCTGGCAAAACAGTCCGCAGTCCATTTTCAGTGTGGCCTTTGTTACGATGCTGTGGCAGCTGCTTGATAGTAATGTCTACAATACCTCCTGTCTTCCCTTTCATATTTGGGGTTTGAGTTGTTTCTGGTGCTAGAAAATCCAGACAGTTTTAGAAATGCTTAGCCTTAGCTTGTAGTTAAGGAAATCATATTCTGTAAACCGATAGCAGTCTGGCTGCTGTCTACTGAAAGAGGTACACTGATATGTGGACAGAACATGTCAGTGCTCAGAAGTAAACTAAAAAATCCCTTAAAGCAAAACGTTGTAACAGTAGTTGTCTTACATGTGATTTACAAAGGAGGTGAAAGGTCCCCGGAATGTCAGTGGGCTGTTGCTATGTAGCCTTGTCAAATAAACCAGTAGGTAAGTATAAAGATAGCCTCATCCCTGATTTAAAAGCAGAAAATGTTTAAGCCTGATTAATCCAAACATAATATGCTGTATGCTTGCAAGATGTGCTTGCAAGTCATGCCTTAAATAACTCCTACTTTTCTGCTCTGCAAAATAATTTTCCCACCATCAGCCTTTCCTCCTGTCCAAGTAGACTTGTTTTCCTATTCTTGCAACAGCATTTTGTCAACTTCTTAAAAATCACACTCTGGATAATAATTTCATTTGTCCTTCTTATTTTAACATTTAGCCTGATTCTTTAGTTGGAAGCCTGAGAATAAAACAGAGCAGATCAATAGTAAAAATATAACATTTATTGGGTCACAGGTAAAGTATTTTAGCGCTGGGCTCTAACAGACAAAGGTCCTTGAGGATCGCAGTCGACAAGGGCCCTAATATTGTATATTTGTATTCTGGGCTGGGTCTGCCCCTTCAAAAGGAAGACTGGACACAACCGAGTGCTATTTGCAAGTTAGGTCTGATGAACAGGCCAATCTTCATATTACAGACTGTTTACACCTTGTCCACTCTTGAGAATGTGAACAAAGTCCACTGCACGTGCACTCTTACACACACTGCTAACCGATGTGTACATTCAACATAAAAGAAAAATGTCTATGCTCACCTTGACTGATCAATAATGG